TGGCTGGCAGGTACAGAGATCCTGTAAAGCTACAGGACTACACCAGTTGTTGGGTTGACGCAATAGCTATATTAATTGTATGGCTAGAACAATTCATAACTAAAGCCAAAATGTTTTTTGTTTTTTTGTTTTTTTTTAAAGATGACCGGTAAGGGGATCTTAACCCTTGACTTGGTGTTGTCAGCACCACACTCACCCAATGAGCTAACCGGCCATCCCTACATGGGATCCAAACCCATGGCCTTGGTGTTATCAAAACCACACTCTCCCAAGTGAGCCACGGGCTAGCCCCAAAATGTTTCATTATTTTAGGACCACGCTACTAATTAGGAAAGATCCCAGGACCCACTGGCAGACGACACAAGCTCAGGCCTCAGCAGTAGCAGTAGCAGCAGCAGCAATAGCAGAAGCAGCAGCGGTGATGGCCTCTCGGGGCATCCCGTCAGCACTGGCAGCAACAGCCTCCAAGGCAGCTGTAGTGACCTCACCGTGGCCCCTCTGGGGGCATCGGGGGGGAGCACCATGTATCAGAGCCACTTGTCCTTATACTTAAGTCATAACCCAGGACACCTGGGTGCACATGCGCAGTTACATTAGACAATAACCAAGGAACACCTGGGTGCACGTGCATATTTACATCAAATGCTCGGCCAAATTCTGAACATCTGAGGGGCCCTGACCATTTTCCTTCACTTTCCCTACAGATCCGAACCTGGGACCTTGGGGTTATAAGGCTGCCATCTAATCTATTGAGCTAACTGGTCAGCCCTCTAAATTTTAGAGGCTAGCATAACCCTGATGCCAAAATCAGATATAAATAATGCTCACACAAAAAAAGAAAACCAGAGACTAATATCATTTAATGCATAAATACAAAAATATTAAAAGCAAAATATTAGCAAATCAATTTCATCAGTTTTATTTTTTATTTATTTATTTTTTTTCCTTTTTGTCTTTTTCCGTGTCCGGCAACGGATCGCAACCCTCAGTGTCGCCCCCGCACCAGACCGGGACCAGCAACGGGATTGCAACCCTCGGTGTTGCTCCCGCGCCTCGCTCAGCCAGTGAGCGGGAACCGGTCTGTATGTGGGATCCGAACCCTCAGCGGGAGCGCCGCCGCACTCCTAAGCGGCACACTGTAGCAGTGCGCCACCGGGCCGGCCCTAGTACCACATGTTTTAATTACAGTTTTTTTCCTTTTGGGCTTGACTCAGAATAATTAAAACTTTATGGTTTGTTTTTGCTAGATGATAGAACGCAATGCTTTTATTAATCTTTTCCAAAAATTTCTTAG